GCACTGTTAGCATTTTGAGTCTATGTGTTTCGCATAAAGATAAGTTTATTGGAGGTGTTAAGCTATTGTACAGCATTTCTTCAGCTTTTTTAAAGATTGAAAAATTATAGAGGTCTGTAATCTAATTTTTAGCCGTATGTATTTAGTGCGAAATCAGTCTCAGACGAATAAATAGTCTGATCATTTATCATTTGTGATAGTTTTTTTCCAGATGTAACTTAAATCAGCATTCCCAGTTTTTTTCGGCTGCTGAACCCTAAATGATCGATGTTCATTTATCGAAATCCCAAGATTTAATGAATAGATCTCATTAGCAGTAGTGAACATATTGATTAACGAAAGACTATTAATTACTTTGAGAATATGTAATGATCTAAGTTTTTTTAAAATTATTTTGAAAATATTTAGTGAACGAAATTTTTTTCATCAAATCGTCTTATCAATTTTTATCTTAAAACTGATCTTCATGTCAGACAGTTGAATTCCACAGGTCTAGAGCACGGTATTTATAGTCTAGTTCTTAATTTAAATTTTATGCATGCATAAACTGAAAAATGAATGAGTATGATTTTCCTTAAAATTAAAACGAAAAAAATAAAAAAAAAACGTTGAGAATTGTTTTCAGAGAAACTTACTTTTTCATCGATGAATTTGGTTATTTCAATTTTAAGCGAAATATTAATGGAATTTTTCCCTAAAGCATATTCCCTTTTTATAATTCATTCATTATATTTTTATTAGAAAAAGCATTGCTCTGAAATTTCTTTCATAACAAGCATTTCAACTAAATAATTTCATAAAAATAAAGAGAATATTAAATAAATAATGGATTATTAATTGGATATAAATTAAATACCGGCTTCAATAATCATAACGTGATCAAGACATTTTTCAACTCTAGGAAACCCTGGGACCTATCCGCGAAACTCTAGGGAACGGAACACGGAACACCATTTGGGAACCACTGAGTTAAGCAGTCCGTTATTATTTTGTTAGAACTAGATCTCAGATGCGAAAGCTTTTTGGAAAATAAATTAGTTAATATATCACTATATTGACATTAACACTTAAACACAATTTTTAATCCCAAAATCCATATTTTAGACCGATTACTATTTCTTTTTTGAAAGGTTCCAGATCAATTTTGTTGACAACTTGGTTTAGCAAGTTTACATTATAACTAACTAATAAAAAATATTATATCAACACTTGTGCAATTCAATATGCGTTTTTTTAAATTATTAACCAAATACGTCAGTACAAATACACTTAATATATCAAAACATTCTATCTAACATTCCAATAAATCAAATTTACGCTTTCATACATTGTCCTCGCAACGATTTTCTTCGCAGTTTTAAATCTGTCGAATCTCCTCAATTATTTTGAATTATACAAAGCACAGATCGTTTAAATATCTGCTATTCACACTTCGCAAAATAATAATTGCGCGTGGCTAAGAAATTGCCTTTTTTTTAATATTGATAATGATACAAGAGTTTCGTTTAATCTTTCCAATTTGAGAATAAAAAGTTTAAGATGTGTATCACAACATGCTAAACGTTGTTAAAATATTCCTACATCCCTTCTGATTGCATATTTCATTCTTAAGCATCAATTTCAGAAGTGGGCTATTCAAATGATTATTTTCTTGCAATTTACGTCGTAATTCTTTTTCTTCATTACATAGTTACGTGGGTTTTTTCCATGGCATTCAAAACAAAGCTCAGAGAAATAGCGACGTGGAACGTTCAAATAGGCATTTAAATTTGGCGATTTCATGACGTTCCTTTTTATTTCAACGATCAGATAAAAGCCACTCTCATTTCTATAAGTTTGATGAATGAGGATTCGTGTTTCCGATTGTATTGTTAGACGGTTGCGGTAACAAAAATTGTTTTTATTGATAGCTATCTACTACTTCAGAAGAAAATGAAACACATACTTAAACTTTGAATAGGAAAATTCATTTTATTTAATTTTTTTGAGATGGGATATTAGAAACTTTAAGCATAACCTTTTGCAGTACAAATTTTCATTTTAAATATTTGTAATTTTTTAGTGATATATGNTTCAAAGTTGATTTTATTGGATAGAAAAAAATGGCAGGACAATCGATTTCATTTCTAGACTGTTTTCTGAAGGAATAAATGTTCGTGATTGCCTTAACTTATTAACAGTTATTTTCCTTCTTAAGAGTAGCTTACATCAGTAGAAGGTCGTGGAAAACAAGATATGATAGACATGAAACGGTTTTACTACCAGCCAGCTTTTTTTAGCCTTGTAACTCGGTAATATTCTAGTTACGCACTTATTTCTTTAAAAAAAAAGTTATGGTAGCATATTTATTTCGTTATTAGTTTTTGTTGTTGAGAAAATGATTTTGTTTCAGTTATATGGGTGTCGAAGATAAAATTGATCCAAATCGGCAAATTTAGATAAATTTTATAATCTTAATCTTCTTTAAAAGTATATCTCTGCCCTAGCTTTTCCTAAAAAACCGTGCCCCCATTTAGTAAAGATACACTCACCTTTTCGCTCTGTCTATTAGCGTTGCTTCAACCGAAAAAAACTAGTTGTTATAAGATTAATATGATAAAATTTATCTAAATTTGCCGGTTTGGATAAATTTTGTCTTCAGCTCCCATACAACTAGCGAAATCATTTTCTCTACAACAAACGAATAACAAAATAAATATCCAACAATATCTTTTTTTAAAAAAAGAAATCGTTCGTTGTAGTGGAACTGGGCGTCTAAGGCCTTACAGCCCTTCTTTTTTAAAAGAAATAATTGCCTAACGCGAATATAATCGAGTCACAGTGCTAAAAAATGCTGGTAGTAAGACCGTTTCATATTTTTTATATCTTGTTTTCGTAAGAAGTAAAAGAACCATGTTTTCCAAGACTCCTTTACTGCTATGATAAGACATGCTAATGTACTAGTTTATAGAATATTCTCAACCACTTTAGACACTAAAAATAAATTAATAGATCCTCAGGTTTAATTCAATTATATTATATGTTAAGAAATATTAAAAGGTTTGAAATATAATTTTTTAATCACTCTTTTTACTTGACATTGTGTATGGAGCTTATGACAGAATGATTGATGAAGATTAATTAGAAGAACATTTAATACTGATTAATTATCCGAGCGTTTTAAAAACTTAATGGTTAAAAAATAATAACAAATTGTGCAGAAATATGAAGAAGAAAATCACGTATTTCGTTAATATATTAGTTGTTATCTAAGGTATTATGAAAGTAATTCTATTTGATATATCTTTTAATAGTCTTCGAAGAAACTAATTGAAGATCGCATTTTTAGATAATAGCTGTTATTTTCTCTGATATTTTCTATTTTCTAACCGTACCTGTAGATTTAATATAGTAGGTTACACCCTATATTTGTCGTAATTTTTGACGCGAAAATTGCCGGCTCGCCCTTTCTGGCTGAATATGACTTTTAAATAAGGAGAACGTTTCTGGTTTTGGGCTTTATACTATAAATCACATCTGATTTATTTCTGCTTAAAAACAGAAGTCAATTGCTGGTTCCTTTATTTTCGATTTAATTGATTTAAATTAGGGTGTAAATATATTTTTCAATTAAAACTTTGAAGCGTTTAAGAGTTATTCCACTTTAAAAGTTACAATATTAGATAGACAAGATTTAAAAAGTTTCCTGCTGTCCCTTGGAATAAATTTAAGTATTAAGTTTTTTAGCATCAGGTGTGGTATTTTAATAACATTAAACGATAAAGATTTTTTTCATGAATGAGATGAATATCAGGAAAACAAACATGTTAAGAATTTTAATGCCAGCAGATTAAATTTTTATTTGTTCTTATTCCATTTTGATACATTTAATACGTTTATCATAAGCCATGCATCAATCATGGTGAAAGATGTAATTTTTTTCAGATGTTTTACATAATAATTCAATACATTTTTTAAAATTTTTATTACTATTTTTTTAATCCATCAAATAGCTCTTGTAAAGTTTTCGTCAGCATTAAAAAGCTTAGCTTAAAACTCTCTCCTTGCGAAAACATTGAAAGAAAAAAAGTTTTTATACTCTCAAAAGTTAAACTGTCGAGATCTGAAGCTCTCTCGATTCAGGAATCCTTGAGTCTCATTTCGTTAATTTTGTGAATCATTTCGTTATGAAATCACGTGATTTGTTACGAAACGTAAACTCGTGAACGTAAATACATATATGTCGAAAATGTTTCCTCAACTCGGAACCATATCAAGGAGTTCCTGAATAGCAGGAACTTTACACCGCACTGCATTGTGACGGAGATTGTTAACTAGAATGACGAAACTAGAATAAATATTAGACGATCGAAACTAGAATGACTTAATATTTCTTCACTTTTGATGAAATTTGTTTCCATGAATTTACTACTTTGACGAAATGTTCACTCGGAGCATCTAAGAAATGGCCTCGACAAAAAACGAAGAAAGTTTCTTGAAGTTTGAGTATCCACTTGCTACAATGTATACGAGTATAATGAATGCATAGTTTGTTTCTTACGTTGATATATTGAAGTAATAATCTTTCAGAATTGAATAATAATATATTGAATAATTATTTTATTCTATCTAAATAATCTATTGAATAATATATGAATAATATATGAATGATATATAAAGGAAAATATATTGAATCATTTTCATTCAGAAATTTTTTGGGGAGATTTCCGTATCGTGATCTGTGGCAACCTTATCGCCAAGTTTTGGAAACTTCAGGGCAGTGGCCCGCAAGAAACTAAAAAAACATAACAGAAAGGGACCAACTCGAAAGGTATAACTCGTAGCCACCCCCGGACAAACATCCACATGTTTTTTTTTTTTTTTAATTTGCAAGTTTAAAATCTATTTGGCACCTTGGCGATTGTACTTGGGGCAACAGATCATGATACGGAAATATCCCTAATTTTTTAAAGACAAATTGTTTGAAAACAGCAGTTAGCAGTAATTTTTTTTTGTTTTAGCATCCCAAACCGTACCAGATCCTTTGTTTACACGTGGTTGTCGAGCGAACCGTGGACAGTTTCCACACGAAACCTATTGTCAGCAATACTACAATTGCTGGGACGGTAAAGCTGTCATCCAAGAATGTCCTGGAAAACTCCTCTTCAATCCTGTTATTTCTGCTTGCGACTATCCAGAAGCAGTAAATTGCTTAGCAAGATTACGGAATCCAGGTAACATTTTACATTATTATTTAAATTTATTTTCTCAAAATGTCTGATATCAGGATTCAAATGATACATGTTTCTGAAACACGAAAAAATATATTCCATTTAAAAACATTGGGCAGAATTTCATTAATTATTAATTGACAAAATTACTTGTCTGATTTTTGAACTAGGCACTTGGGGTCGCGCAGTGGCCTTTGTCCCATCTATCTGACATATTTGATGCTGTAATAAAAAAGCAATGAGGTTATCAGACTACGTGGTTTCCACCATTTTACGATTGAATGTAATACATTTATATACTCGTTTATTATTATTATTTTTTTATAAATGGGTAAAATTATAAAAAATATTTATAAAAAAATTATAAATACATATAAATATATAAAAAAATGTAAAAAAATTATAAAGAATATACAAAAATATTATAAAGAATTTTTTTTATATATGGGTGCTTAAAATGGGCGAAAGATTGGAATAGAAAAGCATATGTTATGCTATCATTTAAAATAGAAAAATCTTCCTGAAAATTCGGAAGAATTTTGTAGCTTTGTATTAATGTGCAGAAATATCAGACATACAGAAATATAGACAAAGTTGCTCTTGTATATTTTGTTGTAATATTCAGTAAAATACTTTCGCACAATACTGAAAAAGCATAAATTAAGTTCCGTATCATTCCATCAACATGTTTCTTGGCTGAAATACATCTAGAAAGAGAATGAAATGCCTTTCCTTAAAAATACAATAAAAAACACGAGTACAATATTGACATCATAAATTAAATTCCGTATCATTCCATCAACATGTTTGTTGGCTGAAATATATCTAGAAAAGCCATGGAATACCTTTGCTTAAATATTCTATAAAATGTACGCGCGCAATATTATTGACATCATAAATTAAATTCCACATCATTTCATCAACTTGTTTGCTGGCTGAAAATATCTGAAAAAGCCATGGAATGCCTATTGTTGAACGACTAAAAATAAAAAAATAAGGAAAAAAAAATGGAAGAAAGTATTCAAATTCATCAAGACCTGAAGTTATTCAAGTAAATTGATATCGTGCCACAGAACTATATAAAGCAGGTGAGGTTCTGTCGTAATAAGTAGCTCAATTATGGCAACTATTTTTTTCTTTCTTTCTTGATATAGCCAGACGTCCCGACATTTTAATTTCGACTAACTTGCATCATGAATCATTATTCTTGCCTATCTTATTGCAGCATCTAAAACGGGGATCAAGTGGTCAGAAAAACAAACAGAAACATCGCGAAAAAGAAGTTAAAAGTAATTCGCTGCAGGTCATTTAGTAATTTTCTGGCAAACAGTTTTCAAAGTTAGTACTTCCATTTACGCCTCGCGTGAAAGATTTTCAATTTATGAAGGATACATTTAAATGATGGTTGTCAGCTGAATGCCTTAGCTGACAGTTGATCTTTGCTGAAATGATTTTTATCATTTTTAAAGATGGATCTTTTATTAGTTTATCTTATGTTATTTATTACAACTAGTTTTGAGATTTGGAGCAAAAAAAAAGTTGGTCTTTAAAATGTTTCTTGAAGAAACTTGATGTAATTGGTAACATGTAATTTTCATGGTTTTCTGCAGAGCTGCCAACAACTACGCTTTTTGCAAAATATTTTATAGAACAATAGACAATTAAAAACTAAAGCTTTTAGAAGTTTTGGTTAATTTTCCGACATTTTAAATGCTTTACCACAGGAAAGCTGAAATAACGCGGCGTTTCATGTGAATTTATGAATCACTAGATGCTGTGATGTAGAAAATAAATGTATTCAGAACAAAGAATCATGCATTCAAGCATAAACTTAGCTACCAATGGAAGAAATGTTCCCCAAAAGCTTACAGCCTTAGTATGTGTATAGTTAGAAAAAAAAGAAAGGAAAAGAATTAGTATTGAAATATTAATTTGATTTTCATGTATAATGTTATGATAACATCGCAAGAAAATATTTTATACATGCAACAGCTCATGTAACCATAGTAAAATGTACGCATTTTAGCGTATAAACTATCTGTTTCGAAAAAAACATATTAATTTTTTACTGTGTTTGATTTAGCATACAAAAATTACACATGAAACAAAATTCTATCAAAGAAAGTAGACTGCTGGATGCAGCTAAACATTTGGCTTAAAAAAGGAGAAAAAACGACATTTTTGGCTATGGTAGAAACAATGTCTCTATTTCAAAATATTAAAGACATATCTTAAATCTTTCATTCTAAACACTTAAAATTGAAGAAGTTTAATATTCTTATTAACGAGAATATATTAATAATATTATGTTACATATCATGGGATGTATATGTCTTGTACTAAAATCAAGCAAGTGCTGTTTTCTTAGCCAAGGGATTCTTAACTAAATAAAATACCCACATAATTTTCATGCAAACGAGCTACCAAATTTTTTATCAAAGCACTTTTCTCATTATAGTAAAATCATTGCATGACTTTTCGAACTCGGCTTTTAGTTAAACGTACAGTCCAAGCCCCACCTAGAAGAGCCATTTGTCCCCCCCCCACTCTCTTTAAGATTTTCAAATAAAGTTTTTGTTTGGCCACGCCTAATCGATTATGCTTAAATCTACTACAAGCGAATCTTTAAACAAGTGTAACGAACAAGCGACTCTAACTCATTATTAAATTTTTTGTTTCATATCCGTTTAAGTTGTTCCTTTCTTCTTCATTCCTACTGGCATAACATAAATTTATAAGGTAACATTTTGTAATTTTTTCACGAGCTGTCTCGGGTTTTCTAGTCTACCACAAAATTTCAAATCCAAATCTCAGACAAAGACCCCATTAACATGTTGAGCGCCGCGTCAGCCATCGGTGGCTGACACTGAAATTACATTTAGGCCACGTCAACCACCGGTGGCTGACATTGAGATTACATTTAGGCTGCGTCAACCACCGGTGGCTGACACTGAAATTAGATTTAGGCTGCGTCTGCCACCGCTTGCTGACACTGACCTTTTACATAGGTCGCGAAAAACAGCTGCCTGACAGCGTATAACATGATATAGAACTATAAAATTTACACTCTTTTATGGAATAGCAGAAAATTTATTCAAAATTTACTTAATTATTGTGATTCCTGGTTTAATAAATTCAATTTAGTAGATTTTTATCCACCACTATTTTTAAACAATTCGTAGGCATATATAACTCACCACTTTTTTCAGATATGATATGCTAAACCTATGCTATGTTATGCTTTAATAAACTAGCAAAATCTGTCTATATTTACAATTTTAGTTTGTAGTTATTTACCGTGTGGCCTTCAACGTGTTAATGAAGTAGCATCTATTGTCAACAACCGACTGCGGCCGGTGTTCAGCATCTTCCAAAAGCGTTTTCAGAAGAATGCATTAAACCATTAAGCGCCATTTAAACTCCAATGTTCCAGTTTTGGAACATGTCTTTTCTTAAAAACGTTAAGGGATCAAACTCAGTCCTTAACTCAACTTCATTGATTCAACTCGTAACTCAAACCAATCGTTTGTTACGTTTGGAGAAGCTGAATAATCCCATCAACTTGAATATATTAGTATTATAAAAGTATGCATCTTGTGATAAATATGCTTTTATGAAATCAAGCAATTGCTATGTTTTTTTTTAAAACAAATTGGTTGATAACTGAATAAAATATCCATATATTTTATATGTTTACCTACTACCACATTTTTCACAAAGGCAATCTTTCCATTTTTGCAAAATAAGAGTTTTTCAGGTAGACGGTTAATTAAAGTGCAGATCCATTTTCTTTGATGCTACTTTCAGGAAATGAACTTTTGAATTATTATTTGAATAAACGGCAAATTTCAGTGCATTTACCGACATTTTCCTTTTTTTTCTGGTTTTCATTCTGTATTAGTATACAGCACATGCATCACTCAATTCTTCAGATTATAGATATTTAACTAGTTCTGTCCCCAAAGAATTTTTTTAAAACTAGTACACGTGTTATTTCAACACAAATTCGCATCAGATTAAATATTGTTGATGGGAGGAGGAGAACAGTTTAAAGAAAACACTGTCATTCCTGTTGTGTACCCATAAAACTAATTGAAATAAATTACATTTATATCCCTTTGTGGTGTCTACTGTTACAAAACTCGTTTACTGTAGCAAATGCAAACTCAAAAATACTAAATGCAAAATCAAAAATAGTGGAAATTGCCATCAAGTCTTCAAAAAAGAACACGACAAACTTGTTTTCCGAAAACTGTATTTTAAAACTAAAGTGGCAATCAAAGCCGTTTGCAATCACGAAAAGGCATTTACCTCCTTGAATAGAAAATGAGCAACAAAAAATGTAGCGGACATAGTGTTGAATACATTGTAAGCATTTTTTCTTTTAGGGAAAAGAAATTAAGTATTTGCAGATAAAAAAATTAAATCTGGAGTATATTTCTACCATATTGATTTGAGTGTACCGGAGCAGAACTATTTTAATCTTGCTTTCAATCACCAAAATTTCATGACGATCAACTGATATTATATTCATATTTCGTGGGGTAAGAAAGTTCACGAACAAAGATCGAACCGATAATTCATAAGTTAGAATATTCAATTGCGGTTATGTACATTAAGAAACATTGGGGAGTTTGTTTTTTCCCTGTAGAGCTTATTTTGGGAAGCGCTTTTAGCACTTTAATCAAAAGCTTTAGTCAAGAAAAACGAAGACAATGGTGATCATTGTGTGTAGTTTCCCACTAAAGCGTTTTGTTTTATCTTTAGATTTTTCACACTAAAAATTGCATTGCTTAAAAGCCAAGTTGTTTAAGCGATAAAAAACCACTGCCATTTTAATCGTTAATATTATTGTCAAAAATTAGTGGAACAGTTTTTATCACACCGCTCCTGAAAAGGTTAAAGGCAATAATGGTAAAAGTGAAAATTTGGGAGTGGACAGAAGAATAGATATAGCAGTTTTCTTGAAATATAGCATAATTGAAATAAAAAAATTGAAGTCTAAAATGTGCACACTATGGGGTAGATGAGCACGGTGTTAGGGGTAGATGTAATTGCTCCGAAAAATAATAAGTAAAGGTCTTCCAACCCCAATCCTGGCACCATATGTATGCAATAAATTATTGCAAATTTAACTTTCGAACCAATTTTCTTTATTAATACTGCTGCGTAGCGATAGACTATACACTTACAATTATAGACTTTTCCATTTGTAGTTTATCTATACGACTAATACGAAGCCTAGCACTTTCCTTTGAATTGCACTGATGGGAAAATCAAATCTTTATCAAGTTTTAATCTGTGAAAGTTTGTACTAGAACGCTGAAGTACCAGTATACTAGTTACCTATCCTTGCTAGGAGCTCGAGCCTTTAAAAATTTCCCCTTCAACCACTGTTTAAATTTAGAAACCGTCATCTAATTTGAATTTAAAACGAATCCAGTATTTTAAAAATGTTTTGGTATTAACAAATCAGTGATATAATTTTACGCCTTTTGAAATCGGTTAAAAATCAAAACAATAACACTACTCAAGCTTTTTTTTAAAAAAAGTAACAAAAATTTAATATTTAAGCAATGATCGTTGTCATTGAGTGCATTATAGCCTTGAATGTCTCATGCGTCTTGATAATTGCCGTTTCTGGGTAAAAATCACGATTCTTTTTTTTACAATTAGACCTTCAGTCAACTAATAATTTGTTAGCAAATTGCACATTTTGTTGTTGTGAATGAATCTTTATATTTATTTATTATTATTTTTCGCAGCTCCATCAGTCACTGCGGATGGCCGATGTCTGAAACAATTTGGCACCTTTCCCGATCCAACCGATTGCACTGCTTTCTACAAATGCTCTCATGGTAGAGCTTTCAGACAAGTATGCCCTTACTACACAGCTTTCGATGAGAGGTATTTGGTTTGCGTTCATGCTTATAACGTGGAATGTGCTGGAAGAGGTGGCATCTATGGAACACTAGCGCCACCACTCTTCAGGATACCAGATGGAGGAAGCTCTCAAATCGGTTTGTCTCCAATAGGATCTGTATCTTCTTCATCACGTAATTACTATAATATAACTTTTAGATAAATCTTTTTAACAGAATTTTTTCATTTGCCATATAGTTAACTGATATTTATAACTAGTTTTGTCAAAATTAACTTCGCATTTAGTTTTGAGATATCAGTGGCTTGACTTGCAGATGTGTGTCGATGCTATAGGTGAACTCCGGCGTAATTACTGGTAACTATAAAAAGGTTTGTATCCTTTGTCATCGCCCCCCGTTAGTTGATCGCCTGTTGTCGTTGGTCCCTCTCTCTGCACCTCACTGAGTGACATGCTTTGCTGTCACATTTAATTATTGTCGCATTTAATCATCAAAGTTAAAAATCAGTCTAAATGACGAAACATGAAGTTTTTAAATGCACTGAGAATGTGGTCAGTCGTATAAGTTTTAAAATCTGTTGAATTCCATTGTTTTTTGGAATTATAACTTTAACCGTTATATGCTGTTGGCTGTATAACTTTCAAGCCGAAATGAACATGAGAACTGAATAATAACATAATAGTTTCATAATTGAAATAAAAGAAGAGTCTACAGGTTTCGAGTGCTGATCTAATATTAATGATAAAACGAATATTAATCATAAAACGGTCGAAAGCATATTAATGATGAAGCGGAACAGGCTAGAAACAAGTAAAAACATCATTGCGAAAGAAAAAAAAAAGAAGGGAAATTCATAGGTGGTAAACATGAGAAATCACGGTAGCCAAAGGGACAATGTTAGTCGAAGGAGACAAATCAAAGCTGACCATATTTTTATGCTAGGGGTGGGACAGAACCGAGGTCAACTATGACATAACAAGGCTAAAATTATTACTGCAAAGCAATATTACGGCAGAGTTATTATTTTAAAATATAATATTTTTTAAGTTGTTATTCTTTTTATGTAATTATAAAAAGAAGTGAGTTATAGGTAGTATTATGAACTAAAATGTTTAGTTCCTTGATATCGACAACTAGTCTATAAGCTGTTTTTAATTGCTACAGTTCTTTGCTAACTTTGGTTGAAAATATACAGCTGAGTTGATAATTTTGGGGTAAATAGTTGATGAAACATTTACACGAATTCGTATTAACAACAGGGGAATTTATTTGTTCTAAGTAGAACTAAAATTAACCTTTGTTTCTCTTTTTTAATAGTTCAGTTTTTGCCTGCTTCTACATTTCATCAATAATTTAAGCTTAGATAGAAAGTATAAGACTGGACAGTTTTTCTTTTTAGCGAAAAAATTACCATAAAATGTTGTTTTCTATTCCGAAATGTTTGATAGTAATAAAAATTAAATATAGAACTCAGCGGACGTTGTTATTAATGAAATCTTTGACCCTAGACCTTTCAGCAATATCTTGCAATAATTGCTACCGAAACCAATTACGCCATCTGGTATTTGCCACGACGCCTCAAAATTGTTTTTCATTCATCAAAAGACCGATAACCAATTTGCACACACAAAAAAAAGGAAAGGGTGAGAGATTAGTTCTTTAGGTAATGAAGAGGGTCGGTTAATTTTGAGAAATGCAAGAAGTGATACTTCATTAGATAACGAAGTCCAACTGGTGGCGGACGCTACTTCCAATTATGTTATCTTAATTGAGCCACTTCATAATGAACTTCTTCACACCATTGAATTATATCATTAATTATTACCTTCTTCGCCGCTGAGACGTGAGTTATCTGTTTACTCATTCAGTGTGGATACTGCAGACGATATAAATATTCTTTTTCTCATTTCACTTTAATTCTTTATTGAAAAATCGTTTGGTCTTGACTCGAAAGATTCCATCAGTGATTGATTTTATTAAACCAGTAGGGAAGGAGTGTATGGAACCGAGTTCATTTAAAAACTGGTGACATAGCATTTTATCTTTGCCTCCTCTCTGTTATGCCTGTCAGGTAGCTGTTATTATCCAATCTTCTTTCGATACGCAAAGGTGGTAGGTCATTAAAGCGCGTTGCCATTTGCCAATCTATGAATTCCAATCGGTAATAATGCGGCAACAATTTGTCATTTGTCTGTTTTTTATGTATGCGTTTGTTGGAGGCAATTGACGTTGCCATTTTCCCTAATATAAAACTAGGAATCTTTTGCAGTCGAACAAATGAATGAAATATTTGAGGTGTGTTCTCAATATATTTCTAATGCACCTTTTCAACTTGTGTATAGGCTTTAAAAGGGATATTAATGCAGCATTTTTTTCAAACAGGACCACACATTTAACTAAGATTAAATAAAGAAAGATTTTTATGTGTTTAGGATAATAATAGGGAAAAATGAAATAGCTATGACTATTTTTGACACTTAAATTTATTATCAGTACATCAAAAGGTCAAGTATGTTAGGTTAAACTGCGTTTACTAAATACCTACGTTGTTTCTACTATAATTTTAAAATGAGCCCTTTTTAAGACTACTTTCGATTAGATCAGAAGTTCACCATGTGATTGCTAGACTATACGAGCTTCTTTGTAGAACATTTTAGGCTTTGAACATTTAGGATTTGAACATTTTAGGTTCCTGTGAAATTTTTCCAAGGGTAGACACCCAAAGCTTTAAAAATAATTTAAATTTTCACAAAAATTTTAATCCAAGAAAAACTTAAGAGGATGCCAATTTGTCTACTTGACCTTTTAATATCTGTTGAAACTATTTGTATGCACAATGCGCAAAAAAAAAACGAAAAAAAACGATAAAGAAAAGAAGAAAAAAACGATTCACCCTGAATAACTTCTGATCTAATGATCGGATCTTCACGGTCCAAGACTCAATCTTATTGGTTTTAGAGGGTGACCCCAAACATATTAATAAGTTCAGACGATATTTTAAGTTACGAAATTAGACCCAAAAATATACTTTCTCTCAATAAACATACCTTATTTTCGACGGATTTGGATTTCTGACCCCCAAAATATAAGGGGTTAGCCGCAATCTGCGAAAAATGGTCTCAATAGTTTGATCAGGAGAGTGCTCCAAAGTTTGAAGTACTCTCCTGATATTATTATCCTGATGATATTAGTCTATTAGAGTAAAAAATAAAAATTTAAAAGAAGTATTACAAGATAATTTTTTTTATCAATTGAAAAAATTATTAAATATGCTTTTGAAATTAAATCGGTGATCAAAAATATAAGTTCTATTAAATCTAACGATTGAATATTTTATATTTAACATTTAACAAAGGCATTCTTAAAATGTTTCAAAAATCGCAATTACAATGTATTAATTTAATAATTTGTTACAGTTGCCCCGATGTATTCACGCCACGAAAATAAAGTCAAAATTTCTTTTTTCCTTCTCTGCATATCCGTTGTGTTCCTTTTTAATTCAAATAATCTTATGAAAATCACNGCGTGAATATGTGAAGAAGAAATAGCGCTTTTTGGCAAATAACAAGTCATTTTAAAACTGTTGGAAGTTAACAATTACTCATGACTATTAAATTTATCTTCAACCAGAATTAATTATAAAAACAGTGCAAAATGTCAATATGGAGAAAAGCCATAAAAAAATGAAAATCGTTAGAACTAATTTGTTAATATTTAAAAAGTTGTTCTAATCCTGCATGATCTAGACAGCGACTCGCAAATGGTGTAACGTTCTGTAAAGAGGTTCTGTTAGTCATGTCTTTTTCAACTGGTAATTATTTTTGAAACTTTAATGTTTAGATCCAATGAGTAAGCCATTATTTATTTAATATTTCAGTTGCCTGTATGAAATTATTTAAAGTAAAAGGCTAAGGAAAAATAAATAGAATTTTTTTTAAAACAAATTTAATAATGCATGCTGAATAAGAGGTGAAAAGGGTATGCATTTATAAAATGGCGCATTCAAAACAAAATGAAATAATTGAATTCGTTTTAACAGAAATATTTTGCCATACTATCAATTTTCAACGTTTGTAATAGTTCTTTTTAGTTTTTATTTTAAAGAAAACCATAATTCTTCTTATTTTTACTAATTTTCAGGATTACGAATATATACTAAAAAAAAAAAAAAGTCATATGCAGATAGGATTCAGTCCTAGGCCTGAGAATTTAATTGATGATCATAAAACCAATGAAAAAAAACGATGAAAAATTTAATTCTTCTTTAATATTTGCAAAATAGAGTAGTATTTTATTGTTTAATACTTTCATAATTTTCTTTATACATTTTAATTAAAGAAAGTCGAGGTCCCGCCGAAGGAAATTTGATCATTTAGGGTTCCATTGCCGAAACAAATTCGGAACCGCTGATCTAGACTCATAAAAATTTGCAAAAATTAAAAATTATTAATTGATTTAAAGAATTTTTTTTTTATCTAAAAGAGAAAATCTCGCTAAACTTGTGTGTTTTTCTAAAAGAAGTTTGTCCGTTCTAAAGCACAGATAATTCCTTACTGTAAGATGCTATCTATAGTTTTAAATTATAACTTTGCTTCCAGTGAAAAGCAACCAAACTGTAGCTTTTTTTATTTTGCTTGGCGAAAGACCATCGAAAAACACTAACAACGAAAGTGCACTTTCGGAAATAAAACTCTCACTTAATGACGATTTAGAAATTCTTGAGCTGTATTTCGTTAATTTTGATAATCATTTTGTCACGAAATCCCATGACAAAATTCGAACTCTCAAATACGTGACGAAAATTTTTCATCAACTCGGAAACTTATCGCAATACATTGTGGGGGACTGTAAAACTAGAATACTGAAACTAGAACAGCGAAATGCTACATTACTTTTGACGGGATTCGTTTCCTCGAAAAAGTGATGATATCGTCACTTTGACGAAATGCTCACTTGTAACATATACTAGGAAACGTTTTCGTCAAAAATGAAGAAAAGTTATGGGAAATTTGAGTATCCATTTTTTACAGTGTGCGCATCTGTTAAATTCCATCTGAAACGAAATCAAACTTAAATCAAAGGGCGTGGTCGAAAAAAAAGAGTGGAATAAACATTTACCGCCACTGTTGCCTGTGGGTCAATATGTGACACTTCAAACTTCAGGCGCCCTGACA